TGCCAGGAGCCCCTAGTAGCGTCCTTGCTCCTAGTAGCGATGCCAAAAAGCCCCTACTCTTGCGATGCCAGGAGCCCCTAGTAGCGTCCTTAAGTTTATGAAAAAAACAACCAGAGGTTTTCCACCACGTTCACTGGTCCATCCACGATGAGGCCGCGAGAAGAATTGTGATGTGGTCCTCGAAGGGTTGGAGAGCCTTAGAAAATTGGAGCTCGTGGGTTCTGCTATTTCTTTCTTTCCTTTCCTTGCCGTTCCTTTTTCTTGTTTCCTTTTCTTTTGCTTTTGTCTTTAAACCTTTGGACTGTTCTTGGTTTCTTCCCCTCCGTCCTTTCTTCCTATTCGTGATATGTGATATCATGGCTTAAGCTCCCTGCGGAGAATCGCGCCAGCGGCAATGGAATAAGACTTGGAAGTCACATCGGCAATGGTGCGTAGGAAGAATAGTTCTAGACTAAGACTGATTGCTTGTTGTGGATTTTGCTGGCATTATTTATGTCTTTTTGTTGCTGGGTTTGTAGAAAATAATGTTCAGCCTACTTGATTTTACCTGTTTTGTTTGAGTTTGTGTTTGGTGGAGCAGCTGGCAAGTGTTTTTTGGGCCGTGGCAGGTCAGGGCCGATTGCACATACAATATACAAAGAAATATACACTTTGAAGCTGATGCATTCCTGGCTAATGCATCGCACCATCACTCTCACCCAAATCCCGATCCCGATGCATGTGCATACAGCCTTTGGGAGAATGCTAAGTCATACTGAGTATGACTTTTCATGCTAAGAATGCTGTCTCTTCAGGTCGCATTTAGCCACCCTTTGCTTCAGAACAAAGAATATGTTGAGAACGGGTGCCAAGAACACCCTCACCCTTCACCCCTCCAGTTCTGCACCCCAAGGAAGATGGCCTCACGGTACCACTGCGTGCTTCAATGCAAGGCAGGATTGCACCGCAGCTACTGTTGAGTCACAGATGCAGGTTGGGCACCATGTTCGGCAGATTGTCCAACAAATCGCAATGAAAGACCCCAACATGTTGCGCAGTCTTTGGAAGATCAGAGTCCGCGTGGAACAGTTCTTTTTTTCCTTGGCATGCCAGTTTTAGTTTTGGTGGAACTGTGGTTGCGGAGAGTCCGATTTGAGATCAAGTTGCATAGAAAGGATTATGCTGTGCATTCTCCAAGATTTCCTGGTTCCCCAAACCATAGATAGAGGTCATTTGACATCAGTGGGTGGATTAGATACTTGCTTAGCAACCAACACGAAGGTTAGACACCGACTGTTTTGACGCATGGCCCTTCAAAGGGGCGAGGTCTCGGTAAGTGCGAAGCGCATTTAGATTGATTTCATCCTTTTAGCTTCCTTTACTAATTTTGCTTTAACTCTAATTTATATATTGTTTCTACTAGCTTCTTGTTTCTAGTTGTAAGGCAGCCACAAGGCCCAAAGCCTGAAGGCTTAGGCGTCCGGCCGCCTGCGGCCGTCTGCCGTTCCGCGAGGGACGGGGACGGTGTCTACTAGGCACTCTACAACAGAGTGCCAGCCGCTTCCTGTGGCCCTTTGTTCCTCCTGCTTCGATAGAGGACATACGCCATGGACTTGCTGGACCCCAGTCTGAGGGATCTTATCCAGGAGATTGATGACTGCCGTGTCCGAGGCCTTTTCTCGGGGTTGAGGCCTGGACCCACGCCGACCGTGGGGGCCAGGACCTTCATTGCTGGTGAGGTTTTGGATTATGGGGATGAGTGGGTTGATCTTCGAGCGTTATGGTTCACACCTGCCGCCGGCTTTGTTGAATCCACTGACGACTTGATGGTCCGCATCTCCTTTCATGAACCTCGGAACAGATGTTTACATTTGTGCAAAGGCATTGACATTGTGTGCTCTGGAGAACGGGTTGAACCCAGCAGCAGCATCATCAAGCTCGATAAGGCACACATCTGTTTCAAACCAGAGCTGGTTTCCTCTCTCCCCTGGGACGTGGCGCGCCTCTTCTGCGGTGCTTTCTGTGGTTGGCACCATGGATTGAAGTGGTTGGACTCAGAGGCGAAGGCCATTTGTGTTGGACAAGAACTGTTCATTGATCACGACAGCGAAGTCATGACAATCTGGCAAGCGAAGTATGCTACACCTGTCCGAACACTGCCCTTGACATCGGGTCGATCGTGGAGCCATGGTAAATTTGTTGGGTTGTGTGGAGAAGTCGGTGAGCCGAGCATCATCGAGGCCTGTCGAACACAAGCCAATTTGATGGTGACCATGTCACCCCCTTGCCAATCATGGAGCAAGGGAGGTTTGAAAGCAGGGCTGTCTGATAGCAATGGGAAAGCGTTTTTGGATGCTTTGGAACTCGCTTTTTCTTTGCAGGCAATTGTGATTTCTGCGGAGTGTGCCGACGATGTTGTGGCACATCCTCATTTTCGCTTAGTGAAAGCCTTTGCCCACGTGCTAGGCTACCGCCTTGTTTGGGACCAGGTCACTCCCTATAATTCCATGGTTTCACATGCCAGGACTCGTTGGTTGGGCGTTTGGACTAGGGCGGGCATCCAGGGCCAGGCCTTTCCGTTCGTTCTCAAACTGCCCATGATCCCGAGGTCCCACTGGACTGATCAGGCCTACCAGTTCAGACTGCCTTCCATGTGCGTTTCACAGCTGCTGCTGTCACCATCGGAATGCCAAATTTACGACTCGGTCGAATTCCTCCCTCCTGCAAAGCGTGCCAGGTTCGAGAACAACCTCAACAAGACCAATGAGATCATCAGATCCAGAATCCCGAGTGGCTCTGAGGTGCTGCCCACCTTGTGCGCCTCATATACACGCCAGCATGAGCTTGCCAGACACCACCTGGCACAGAAAGGGATTTTTGCCTGTCTTCAAGAGCATGCTTCGGGCTTTTCCTTCTTCGATCCGGCCATGTTCAGCTGTCTTTTTGGGGCTACTGAGCACGTAGTGCTTTCTGAGAAGGTAAGTGAGTCATTTCACTTCATAGGCAATGCGATCACTGTCCCACACAGTGTTTTGACGCTATGCATCGCCTTGCATGCAGTCAGTGAATGTAGGATTGACCCTATCGGCCTTGTTCGCAATGCTTGGTTTAGCCGGCTCACGACTCACAATAGCATCCTGTTCGCTCACGAGGGCCTCGTTCATTTGATCCCCACAGGTGATTTCTGGAATTGGATTTCCATTCGAAAGGAACAGCCCATTGATTCTGACCGTGCGTGGATTCTTTTCGGAACCTGCGCCAACAGATATTTCGAATGCCATGCCAAGTCAAAGCAGACCCTGATGCAAGTTTTCGGGGAGCATTTCTGTGGTCCGACGTCGATCCTTGAGCAAATTTATGGTAGGGCTGATGATTTCCACTCCGACAATCGCACCCTCGTTGAGCAGTTTGCAGGACAAGAACCATCCTTGAGGCTCATGGCCGGACTTGCCACCCTTGGCAATTGTGAGATTCGTGCTTACTCGCAGTTTGCCCATACTAAGGTCATCGATGATTCTCTGAAGTTGGCGGGCGCCCTTGACATTGTCGTGCCACCGCGGCGAGACCTTCAATATCATTCTGGGCTTGAAGTGTTCTGGATGATACAGGAGATCGTCGAAACACTGCAAGACGATTCTTCGGCCAAGAATTTTGCTGCCAATATTGTTGTACAGCCAGAAGAGGTCAACATCACCGTTTTCCTCACAAAAGAAAACTGTCAACACCTTTTGGGGCAGGTCTCTCAGCTCTCCATTTTTCAAGGGAGGAACAAGCACTTCGCTCGCATTCCAGGGGAGGCTACACTCTCTCTGTTCATCTTTGAGGCCAAAGATTGTGATAAAGCACCATATGCTGAGGCTGTTGTTCGGCTCCACAACATGCCGCTTGGAGGTATTCAGATCCCGATCAACAAGCCTGACGTCCAGTTCCGCCTCCAAGAGTCCAGCAATCCCTTGAAGATCTATGAGATCAATGGCTTACCTGCATGCAATTCCTCCAATTCCATCAAGGATGGAGACATCATTGATCTATGTTTTGCTGCACCGACACGGGCAGGTGGACACCACCTCAATTTGGTTGCCCCACCTTCTCTCCCAGCTATGTCTGACTTCACGGCCAGGGTTGAATTCCTGTGTGACACTCATGGTTGGGTCGCCACAGATGAGATGTTCCATTACACACAAACCCTGCAATGGCAGCAAAACTGGCTCAGGTTTGGGACTCCACAGCTTTGGAATGTCGCTAACGGTGACTTTGAGGATCCCATCTTCGGTGAGCTCAACATTGTGAACAACGCCACAACAGCGATTCCTGTATTGATTGGCAGTCATTGGGCAGGCATTGAAGTTTCCAGACAAGGAGTTGAAACACAGGTCACCTTCATCCAGGTCCCTGTCCAGTTGCACACTCCGTTGACTTTCCTGGTTGCAAGACTTCTCGACATTGCCCCACACAGATTCCATGTCAACTATGAGTACAACGACCCACCACCACACATCTGCGGGTGGAATCTGATTTATCGTTGGTACAGGAGGCATGGTATCCATCAGGGAGTTGCAGACATCTCCAACCACATGACCTTGAACCAAGAATACAATGAACTCATTCAGCTTGCAATGCAATGTTCAAGTGAAGACTGGGCCAGGGCCCAAATGCCATTCGACATCGGCCATCTTGCCTACACGTTGCGCAAGAACTTCTTGTGTTTCCTGGCCAGGCGAGAATTTCAAGGACGCCCTCACCAACAGATCGCTTTGGACACAGCATGTCCTCCGCTGCGTCCTCAAGCTCAGAATCCACCGGACCCACCACTACCTGCTGTGACGCCACTGCCGTGGCTGGATCGAACACAACTCGTGCGAGACAGGATTCAGGACCGTCTCTATCAGATCTTGCAGCATCCAGATTGGCTCTCTTCCGATGAGCTTGACATTGCCTTGGAGGGCCCCAGGGCCATGAATCCACAGACTCTCTTCTGCCCGCCCTCATCGTGGAGTCTTGGAGCATCGCATTTGCACTTCTTCAATGACTACACTCCCGACTACAGAGCGTACAACCAGGTCATTTGGATCATTGAAGTCAACAGGCATTGGGTCCAGGCTGAAGCCTACCTCCATGAGGATTCGTCCAATTTTGCGTTCACTTTTCCAGTCGACAGCCACATCCAGTTGCAACCGTTGGTTGACCATCTACTCAATGTCACTGGAGCAAGGGAGACGCAAATCTCTATCCACTTCTATGACCAAAACAGCCCAAGAGGAATGTGTGGGTATCAACTTCTTGCTCACATCTACCAGCGACTTGCAGCCAATACGGTCCCTTTGCAGCCTCCACAGCGACGACAACTCAGTTTTCATGCTCTTGCAGCTGACTTGTATCGGGCACAACATGAAGCTTTAGCATTGTGGAACGAGGCAGGAGCCCACCCATTCCTCGTTGAGTTCGCCTCCAACATCCGACAGTGGTTTCTGGTCCGTGTCTCTGAGAATCGCTTCCCACCTGACACCGTTTCAGGAGGAGGCAAAGATCAAGAAGATGTTACCATGAAGCCTGCAGGTGCGGCTGCACCGAGCGATGCCGTCAAGACCACGACTTCAACTTCTGTCCGTGACAAGGATCCTTGGCTTAAGAGCGACCCGTGGCTGAAGGCTGTGCCGAGGCCAGCACAGTGCAAATGGGAAGATCTGCTTCTCAAGGACCCCATTCCGTTCACTGGTACTGATGGTTCAGTTCTCCCGCAGAATCACAGACTTCAAATTGGAGGAGCCAGAGGTGGCATCGTCTTGGCGACCAAGACCCACATTCAGGACATTGCCAAAGCTGCTGGATCCAATGATCTCGCCATCCTGCTGCCAGCGAGCGACAACCTGATTCAGTCGGCCTCTATTGGCAAGGTGCAGGGGCCTTTCGAAATCTCTGTTGACGATACTGCTGCCAAAATCTCTTACAAGAG